AAGGGAATACTGCACGGTTTAAAACCAGGAAAGTTATGTCTCAGGGTTGCATCCTCACACCCTACTAATTTAATCTGTATGCTGAGGAGCAAATCAGAGGAGCTGGGTTAGATGAAGAAGAATATGTCTCAGGATTAGACAAAGACTTATTATCAACCTGTAATATGCAGATGGCACCACTGTCCTTGCTGAAAGCGAGCAGGAATTGAAACGCTTGCCGATGAAGACAGGGAGTGTAGCCTTCAGTATGGATTACAAATCAATGTCAAGAAGACCCAACGCCTCACAACTGGACCAATAGGGAACAGCATGATTGAGAACATATTGAAGCTGTCAAGAACTTTGCCTTGCTTGGATTCACCGTAAATACTCGTGGAAGCAGCAGTCAGGACATCAAAGGATGGATTCCATTGGGGAAATCTGCTGCACAGACCCCTTTAAAGAAGCTTGAAGATAAACAAGCGGCCATCTAGCTGAGAAGCAACAAAGCCCACATGGGAGAGGCATGCCAACCTGTGTGATCACGAGGTGTTGATGGAATCAGGTATCAGGCATCAAAGACCCACCACAAACAATCATATCATTGTGAATGAGGGGGAGTGCGATGGAGTGGAGACCCAAAGCCCATCTGTAGACAATTGGACATCCCCTTACAGAAGGGTCACAAGGAAGAGACGAGCCAGCCAGGGTGCAGTATAGCACCGATGAAACATACAACTTTCTTCTCTAGCTCTTTAATGCTTTCCCCCCCACCCCCCTATCATGATCTCAATTTTACCTTACACATCCAGCTAGATCAGAGCTGGAAACACAGGGAATCCAGGACAGATGAACCCTACAGGGCCAATAATGAGAGTAGTGATACCAGAAGGGTATGGGGAAGGTAGGGTGGAAAGGGGGAACCAATCACAATGATCTATGTATAACCCCCTCCCTGGGGGATGACAATAGAAAAGTGGCTGAAGGGAGACATCGGACAGTGTAAGATATGAAAAATAATAATTTATAAATTATCAATATAATAATAATTTATAAATTATCAAGGGATTTTGAGGGAGGGAGAGTGGGGAAGAGAGGGGGAGAATGAGGAGCTCATACCAAGGGTTCAAGTAGAAAGAAAATGTTTTCAGAATGATGATAGCAACAAATGTACAATGGATGGATGGATGGATGGATGATGATAAGAGTTGTACGAGACCCCAATAAAATTATGAGTTTTTTTTAAAGTAGACTTATAGGTCTTTCCTCCACAGCATGGGTCAGTGGGTTTGAATCGCCAACCTTTGGGTTAACAGCTGTGCACTTATCCACTGTGCTACCAGGGGTCATCTTCTGCATATCATTCCAATAATGATATAGAATTATTCTGTAACAATTTCATTTATGAACACAATTTTCATTACTTCAGGGAAAATTATCTTGATATTATGTGATGTGACAGACACAGATTAGAATTGCATGTATAGTATGTACTTGATGACAAAATTTATAAAACTCCAGAGAGCATATGTGAGGGTGTGTGTCTCAATTATCTATGTAGAACATGTAAACAGAAGTGTGCCAAAGCATTAACTGTGTGTCACTTCTGGTTGGTGGGGTTGTGGATGATTCTTATTTTATTTTTCTTTAAATCAATCATTTCATCGGGGGCTCTTGCGTCTGTTATAACAATCCCTACCTCCATTATACCAAGCGGACATGTACAAATGTTGCCATCAACAATTTCAAACATTTTCCTCTTGAGCCCTTTATTAGACCCTCTGGATTTCCTCCTTTGCCCATCCAGCCACCCTCTCAAGCCCTTAATATAGTATGCATTGTTATTATTATTTATGACTTAGTTTATTTATCCTCTTCTGCATTTAGTTTTTCAGTGAATCTGTAATATTTTATCATCAGAAATTTTAAGCTCCTGATAGAATTTTTGGAGGCTTTTACTTGGGCTCTGGGAGGTGATGAGAGCATCAAACCAAGGTCAAAACAAGTTTTACCTGAATTTCTACCTAAACTGTTATTTAGCCTGATCTAAAACATGGATATAATTGTCTCTCTTTTCCTAGGGCTATTGTATGCATGCAATAATTAATGTGAATTCCTTTGCAACTCCAAAGATTTGTCAAAGGCTTAGGTAGTTTCATAGTGAGAATAGAGAGCCCCATGGCAGGTCTCTTGGTGCTGACGACTTTAAGTGGGGAAACTATCAAACCATAAGGTAGTGTAGTGGTTATGGGTTGGACTGCTAACCACAAGGTCTGAGGTTCAAAACCACCAGCCAATCCATGGGAGAGTTACAGTCTCACAAACTCACAAGGGTAGTTCTACCCGTCCCATAGGGTCCGGATAAGTCCGCATCGACTCGATGGCAATAAGAAGTGTCAGGAGAAAGATGAGGCTTTCTGTTCCCAGAAACACAGTCTCAGAAACCCACGGGGACAGCTCTGAGTCAGAATCGACTTGAAGTCACTGAGGTTGGCTTGAAGCGTCAGGACAGAAGCAAGAGCCGACTTGCCTGACCTGACTTCTCTCCTCCACCTCCCGCTGTTAGGTGGCATGGAGTCACTCCGACGCAGTGGGGCGCTAAGTGCACAACGCACCACTGCACCGTCCTTCGGTATCCCTACAATGGATGCCTATACCGGAGCCCATATTGCAGCCACAGGGTCAGTTCATCACATTGGGAGCCTTCTCTATTTCACTGCCCCTCCACTTGACCAAGCATGATGTCCTCCGGGAACTGGTCTCTCCTGACAACATGCCCAAAGTATGTGAGACAAGTCTCGCCATCCCGGCATCTCGGGAGCACTCTGGCTGGCCTTCGTCCAAGACAGATGGGTTTGTCCTTTTGGCAGTCCGGGGTACTTTCAATATTCTTCTCAGCACCACAGTGCAAATGCACTGGTTCTTCTTCGGTCATCCTCATTGGGTGTCGAACTTTCACATGCACTTGCCCATGAGACAATTGAGAATGCCACGGCGTGGGACAGACACACCTTTCCTCCTGTACTTCCAATAACCATCTCAGTGTTCTCTCTTCAGATTAAACCTCCCTGCTGTCTCTTTAGCAGCCCATCCAAGAGACCGCTTGTAGTAAACTGGATAGAGTGTACTTGCAGGAGTGGCAGGTTTGTTTCACAGTTCCTACAGAGTATGAATGACAACCTATGTAGGCATAAGACCAGAAACCTAACCATGTATGGGGCTGTTTCCAGAGGGTTTCCAAGGAAATTAAGGTGACTTTTAGCTCAGGCCATTCGTATGGGGCCTGAGTCTGGGCCGGGCTCTCTCAAACAGTATTGGGTGGAAGGGTGGGGTGGGGCTCATGAATTCCATACAAAAAAAATTATTTCATACACCGAATGATCTTTCTTAATGAGTCATAGCTGTGAAGAGCAATATGTGAAATTATTATCACTTTTGCATTAAGAAAATAATATACCTGAACAAAATTTCTCAAGAGACATGAAACTTACATTCACTCCAAACCCTGCAAATGAATGTTTATTACTACTTTATTCCTTACTTCCCCAAACTCAAGGCAACTCAATGTCCTTTCGCTAGTGAATGGATAAGCAAACCATGGTCAATCCATCTAATGGGATACTACTAGACCAGAAAGAGAGAAACATATTAGCTAGGCTTGAAGAATTTAAAATGCATTGTGCAAAGTAAATAAAACCAGGCCCCAGAGCTGAATACTGCATCATTCCATTTATCTGTCAGAATATACTATTAGTTCCCAGAAGATACGAATGAGGGTCGGTTGAGGTGGGGAAGGATGGGCTACAACCAGGCAGGCAGAAATTATGTTGGAGGGTGATGGAAATATTCTGGAGTGGGATGATTACAAAAATAGGCTTTTGTCAAAACAATACAAGTGAATTTTATGATATTTTACTGCATATGTTGAAAAAATGAATGCATAGAAATAACATTAAGCAATACAGGCCCATGGTAGATTCAAATAACACTATGGATTCAGCAAAAAGTCCCCCTTCCAGACCTAGTGCTGTATTGCAATGGTGGCTAGATAAATCTACACATGTGATAAAATGGCATGAACTATACAAACACCCTGTAGCAATGTCCATATCCTGGTTCTGATACTATACTGTAGTTGTATTATAGTTCAATTAACTGTAACCATGAGGGGGGGGCCATGAAGGATATACTTGAGCTGCCTCCTCTTTTTGAAATTTCCTGTAAATCTATCATTTCTTTCCTACAGTATCTCTCAACCAGACCTCCAGGGGCAACAGTCATTACAAATTCCCCGTGTATCTTATGCATATTAAGTCCAATTTCGGCCGGTGAGTACATCTATGCATAAATACTTCTAACACCAATGGGAGGATAGGGTACAGCCTGTTCTGCATGTGGTTTTAGTTATTATTTTCTAGTTTGTTTATCACACATTCATAAATCTTCCTCATTCTTTTTTCCTGCCGCATAGTATTCCAGCATGCTGCAGCGTCGCACCTTATCTCAATAGTTTCTTACATAGGGCCATTCGGATCTTAAAGACAGCCCAGAACTTGACAATGTCTGTAACATGGTTAAGACTGAGCTGAACAGAGTGCAAACACTAAAGGTTCTCACACATTCAAGACCTGCCTCCAACATGCCTTTTCCTCAGGAGGGTGTCTGCCAGGGGCAGAACAGGTTCCTATCCGTAGGAGAAATACGGAGGATTTTCCGGGCCAATGGGGAAGCGGGAAGGCCAGCAGGGAATTACTGCCGGGTAGGAGTTCGCTGAGGGGCGCCCTCCCGCTGGAGTGTAGGCCTGGCTCCAAGCCAAACCACCCTCCCTAGGCTGCAGCTCTGATAACACCGAAGCGGGCGGGGGGCTCGGCTCGGCGGGCGCCGTGATGCCAGGCGATTGCAGGCTCCCAGCGGAGGCCCCGCGGTGTCCAGCCCCCGCGCGCAGGGGGCGCGCACGTGGTGACCTGCCAGGGGCCGGGTTCCGGGCTCGGGCTCCTCCTCCCTACCGCTCCCGCTCGGCTTCTGCAGTATCACGTGCAGCCGCGCCGGGTGCAGGATGGCGGCGGCGGCCGCAGCGGTGGGTGTCAGGCTCCGGGACTGCTGCAGCCGGGGCGCCGTCCTCCTGCTCTTCTTCTCCCTGTCCCCTCGGCCCCCGGCCGCGGCCTCCTGGCTGCTGGGCCTGCGGCCCGAGGACACCGCGGGAGGCCGCGTGTCCCTGGAGGGGGGCACCCTGCGCGCGGCTGAAGGCACCAGTTTCCTCCTGCGCGTCTATTTTCAGCCCGGGCCCGCGGCGCCCCCGGCGCGGATCCCCGCAGCCACGCTCTCCCCGGGGGGAAACGGCACCGGCGACTGGGCTCCGCGGCTGGTGTTCATCGAGGAGCCCCCGGGCGGGGGCGCGGGCGGGGGCGGCGTGCCTCCCAGCGCGGTTCCCACGCGCCCCCCGGGGCCGCAGCGCTGCCGCGAGCAGAGCGGCTGGGCGTCGGACGTGGAGGTCTTGGGGCCCCTGCGCCCCGGGGGCGTGGCGGGCTCGGCTCTAGTCCAAGTGCGGGTGCGGGAGCTGCGCAAGGGCGAGGCGGAGCAGGGCAGCGCGGGCGGTGGCGGGAAGCTCTTTTCGCTGTGCGCCTGGGACGGGCGCGCTTGGCACCACCACGGCGCCGCGGGCGGTTTCCTGCTGCGTGTCCGGCCCCGGCTGTCCGGCCGGGGCGTTGACCTGCTGCCCCCCGCGTGGCTGCGAGCCCTTGGGGCGCTCCTGCTGCTCGCCCTGTCTGCCCTGTTCAGCGGCCTGCGCCTGAGCCTGCTCTCGCTGGACCCGGTGGAGTTACGGGTGCTGCGGAACAGCGGCTCGGCCACCGAGCAGGAGCAGGCGCGCCGCGTGCAGGCCGTGCGCGGCAGGGGGACCCATCTGCTCTGCACCCTGCTCCTGGGCCAAGCCGGAGCCAACGCTGCCCTGGCCGGCTGGCTGTACGCCTCGCTGCCGCCGGGCGTCGGGGGCACAGAGGACGATTACGGCGAGGCGGGGGGACACTTCCCGTGGCTGCCGGCGCTCGTGTGCACCGGCGCCGTGTTCCTGGGCGCCGAGATCTGCCCCTACTCGGTGTGTTCCAGGCACGGGCTGGCCATCGCCTCGCACAGCGTGTGCCTGACCCGGCTGCTGATGGCCGCCGCCTTCCCCGTGTGCTACCCGCTGGGCCGCCTGCTGGACTGGGCGCTGCGCCAGGAGATCAGCACCTTCTACACGCGGGAGAAGCTGCTGGAGACGCTGCGAGCCGCGGACCCCTACAACGACCTGGTGAAGGAGGAGCTCAACATCATCCAGGGCGCCCTGGAGCTGCGCACCAAGGTGGTGGAGGAGGTGCTGACCCCCCTCGGCGACTGCTTCATGCTGGCCTCGGACGCCGTGCTGGACTTCGCCACGGTGTCGGAGATCCTGCGCAGCGGCTATACGCGCATCCCTGTGTACGAGGGCGACCAGCGACACAACATCGTGGACATTCTGTTTGTGAAGGATTTGGCCTTCGTGGACCCGGACGACTGCACCCCGCTCCTCACGGTCACCCGCTTCTACAACCGGCCCCTCCACTGCGTCTTCAATGATACCCGGCTGGACACGGTGCTGGAGGAGTTTAAGAAGGGTGAGCAGTGGTCTGTGTTCCTCCCCCAACCCCTATCCCCATTGAAGGCATGACCCTTTTATAATGGTGGGCGTCTTCAGGCACCCCGGGTAACTTCTCTTCGATGGTACCCCAAACGCAAGAAGGCCCTCTCTCCTGCCTTCCCTGGCTTGCCTGACCGCACTTCTTCCCCACGTTCTTGGAGCCCGTCGCTTCTGTCGGGACTTGGCTTTCTGTCGCGTGCATGGTGTTTTTTCAGAGTCGGCTGCGTGCCAGATACTGAGCAGGGTGGGCTCTGGGGGTGGCCCGTGGAGGCCAGTGCACAGCTCCCCAACCATTACAGCAGCCTGTGGTACACGTTCCTATAAAAAAGCAGCCTTTTCTTTAAGACGCATCCAGAGCCTGAAGCTCACCACTTCCAGGGCAAACTGGCTCCATTGCTGGACAGCTCCAGCGGCTGACAAAGTCTTTAACTTGTGCACAAATCTGCCGCCAGGGTTTCTCCCTGGGTCCCCGGGGGTTCTGCACTTGAAATCACATAACGTGAGTGTCGTAAACACCCTAGAATTCTTTCCCCACCTTGAACCTCCCTTCATCCATTTATTTGACACACAGCAAACGCCCTAGTGGGTGATTAAACGTGCAGTCAGGCAAGCCGGGGAAGGCAGTAGGGGCCTTCTGGGAAGGATGGTCCCATGAGGAGGGTAGATCTGAGGGCATTCCCTGGGAAGACCAGACCAGGCGAACACTTGCATGTCAAATCATAGGTTTTTTTTTCCTTCAGAGCAGTTACCACACCAGTCCCTAACCTCAAGTCATGCTTATTAGCATGCTTGCATCATGTCTGGGGCTTGTCTTTGGAAACTCTCTTCTAGGGGCAAGTGTAATTCACCCAAGAAAAAAATAGCATGGCTACTTTAAAGTAGATCCTCTTGGCATTACCCAGTTTGACTGGACCCCCACCGCCCTCCCCCCACCACCCCTTCGTTCATTCACTATGTTTGTTCTAGAAGGCTATTTTTTTTTTTTTTAACTAAACCTACTTTTGGGAGTCACCATTGTGAAAACACTGACATGGCTGGAAAAGTGCAGAACCTTCCAGAATGGCTAATTTTGAAGGAGGTGCTCATCCGTACAGATTGAATTGGCATGTTTGCCGAGAGAAAAACTAACTATTCCGTCCCCTGACTTTAGATACGGGCTTCAGAGGTAGCTATCCTATAGCTAGCAGCTCTCATTTGACAGGGTGTTTTTGATACGTTTTGGTTGGTCATGAATTCGATGTCATGACCTGGAGGTACTCCTTAGGATTTCGCATACAGTCTTCCTTCTGCTTGGTGGTGGTGATGGTGTTAGGGCCTGGGGTGTCGGTTCCGACTCAGAGGAATCCAATGCACAACAGAGCGAACCCCGAACCCCCGCCTGGCCCAGTGCCAACCCTCAGAGCGGTTGCTGTGTTCTCGAGCCCATGGTTGTAGCTACGGTGCCGGTCCTCTTGTGAGATGTGTGACGTTGTGTGAAGTATCAAAAGGAAGCCTGGGGGCGGGGGCTGCTGAAGGCTAATCTCAGCCTCACATTTGCCTAGACTTTGTGTTGGTGTCATGAGAAGTCGAGTCCAGGGTGGGCTACTGTCTCAACCTGTTCTGTCTCAGTCCCCCAATCCTTGCCCCAAGAGTTCGCACTGCACTCTGGGAGTTAGCCATCCGCTCTTCCAATGACTGGTCCATGCTGTGTGCCCTACAAAAGGGAGTCTGGAAACTGACCCTAAAAGCCATGGCTTCGCAATATATGTATTTACTTGATGATCAAGATAAAGCGCAGTTAAGGGCCTGTCTCATTTTCAGGTGCTGCTGGGAGACATTTTAAAATGAGACTCCTGTGAACGCATTCATGCCTGCATAATTTATTGGGCCTCTTTACAGTGTAGGCAGTGGGGAGACAAGACAACAAGGCTGTCCTCGGGGCACTGTCTACAAGAGCATCAGTGCGAGAACATGAGCGTTGCTGAGAACCAGGAATTGCATCTTCTTCTCCTTTGGGTCCTCAGCCCCTTCCACGCTTCCTGACACACAGTGTGTGACTCGGGAAGGTCAATACTCATCTCTGAAACGAGCGCCGGTGGCGGAATTTCTAAATCTGGCCCGGAAAGGACTTGGCAGTGTCCTAGGAGCAGTTGGGAGATCACTGAAACAGGGAGCTCCTGAAAAGAAGCAGGCCATGACAGTGAGCATCGGGCCAAAGAAGGGTCGATAGGAGGGGGCTTCAAAAGGTTGGTGGAAAATTCCATTCTCTCAAATTCCATTTTCCCAGGAACTTCTTCAAGCCCCCTCCTTATCCCATGACCCTCCCAAACCTTGCTACTGAGTCAAAGTGTGGTCAAGAAACCAGCAGCATTGGTATCAGCTAGGAGCTTTGTAGAAATTCCGAATTTCAGGTCCCGCTCCAAATCGACTGAATGACAATCTGCATTTTCATAAGCCCCTAGGTGATCCATGTGCGCATTAACGTTTGAGAAGCTTCACCTCCCAACAATTCAAGGTGCATTCTAGATTTGCTTTAGGGTGGAATACGTCAAAGGAATTTCCAAGGTAAGTGTTCTCAGGCTCCACGCCGTATGCTCCAGTTCGTCCTTTCCATACTTCCAGTCCTTAGGACAGGAAAACTGAGTCCAACAACTTCTCTTGACCTTGAAGCATAACTTTGTTCAAGCAAATCTTAATTGCTCTTTTATTTCCCTCATGTCTTTGCATCTCAAGCAACTTAACCACCTACGTAGACCTCTTGGGAGGCAGTGGAAGAGAATGCCAATCTTACTAATAGGAACTATAGCTTCCATTAATTGAGCGATTGTGCCAGGCACAACTTGGTACCATGCCAAGCCCCTTACACACTAAAGCAATCCTCCTGGGCAGGTATTATTAACAACATTTCACAGATGAAGATACTAAAACTCACTTCAATGGTATGACCAGCTCAGCTTTCTGTAACTTATAACGGACTGCATGGGGATTTGAACAGGGTCTGGGGGCACCCCAAACTTTTCCTTTTTGCACTCTCCCAATCTGGTTGCATCCTCCACTCTGGGACTCATGCCGCCCACAAGCTTCACTTGTGACTTGCTCCCTATGACTGATGAACTTCTGGATTCTGCATGTTAGAAGCATAGCTTTTATCATTACAATGATTGCTGCCATACATACTTCACTCCAGATTATTTCAACCTTACCTTTTCTGGTCTGAGCCTCAGTCTCACTCTGCAGAGTTACAGGTGAGAGAGAGACCTGCCTAAAATCATCATGCAAGGCTAGATGCAAATCCAGGCCAAGGGACTCCAAAGGCCTTTGTTGATTTAGAACGGTCTCTCTCTATTTTTTATGAGTCGCGTGTCGTTAGAAGTAGGAAAAGGCAAATGGCCTTGCCGGCCAGCAGGTTAGCTGAACAAGAGAATAGTATTTCTCCCCAGTGGGCTCTGAGTTCCTGTTGGCCGGAAATGAATCTTGTTACCTTGTATTCCCAAGACGACACCAATGGCCATCATGACCAGGAGGTGAATAAATGTTTGCTGAGTAAGTGGTTTTACATAGATAACGTCCATATTTCTGTGCTTGACGGAGGCAAACCCTGAGCATCAGACCCTTAGTGTGTCGGTGAGCACAACGAATCTTCTTCCTCTGCCTAGGGTTTCTTCTGAAGTTAGTGGCCCCACTGTGTCTCCAGTCTGCTGAACTAGAAACTTCTCCTTCTCCCACCTTTACCTGCTAGTCACGAGCCCAAACCAAAGCAAACTCAATGCCATCAAGTCAACGCAGACCCACAGCAACCCTGTAGGCAGGGCAGAACTGCCCGGGAGTTTCCAAGACTGTAACTCTTTACAGGGTAGAAAGCCTGTCTTTCTCCCTGTTGGTCACTAGAGTCAGTCAAATATTGCATCCAACATATTTCTGGGACTTTACATAATTATACCAAACCCAAACCAAACTCACTGCCCTGGAGTGGAGTCCTGCTAAAGGACAGAGTAGAAATGCCCCTGTGGATTTTGGAGGCTATAACTCTTTACAGGAGTAGAAAGCCCCATATTTCTCCTGAGGAGCAGATGGTGGTTATGAACTGCTGACCTTGTGGTTAGTAGCCCAAAGAGCATCCTCTGATGCTACCGTCATTATTATACATAATTCTTTCTTCCACTTCGGGTATTTGTTGTTTGACTCCACAAATAGTTATTGTGTATGGTGTGCAGGCACAGAGGGGAACACCACCAATATAGCTCCTGTCTGCATGGAGCTTACGGTCCAATTCAAGAAGCAGACATTTTTAAAAATCATTTTATTGGATGCTCTTACAGCTCTTATGATCATTCATACATCATTTGTTATCAAGCATATTTGTACATGTTGCCAACATTATTTTCTAAACATTTACTTTCTATTGAGCCCTTAGTATCAGCTCCTCTTTTCCCCGCTCCCTACCCCCCCACCCTTGTGACCCCTTGATAAATTATAAATTATTAGTATTTTCATATTTTACACCGACTGCTGTCTCCCTTCCCCCATGGTTTCTGTTGTTAGTCCCCTGGGCGGGGTGGTGGGGTGGTTATGTGTCAATCATTGCGATTGGTTCTCCCTTCCCCCTACCCTTCTGGTGTTGCTACTCCCATTCCTGTTCCTGGATTCTGTGTGTCATGAACTCGTATCTCTTATCTATACCTGTGCACATGTTCTGGTCTAGGCGGAAGTGAAAGGCAGGAGGACTGGGGTCATGATAGTGGGGGGCGTGGGAAGCCTTAAGGAACCAGAGGAATAGTGTGTTTCACCGGTGCTTTACTGTGTCCCGGTTGACTCATCCCTTCCTTGTGACCCTTCCGTAAGGGGATGCCCCGTTGTCTACAGATGGGTTTGGGGTCTGTGCGCCAACCCCCCTCCTTCTCAACAATATGTGTTGGTTTTGGGTCTTCTCAACAATATGTGTTTGTTTGGGGTCCTTTGATACCTGTTACCCAATCCCACGGACACCTCACTATCGCC